TCTATTATACCTGACATACGACTGTTTGCATTGTTATGTGATCTTCCACTACCAGCTGTATTAATATTACTTGTATTTGCAAAACGATCAGCTGCTGAGATAAATTGTCTTATCAATATTCTCGATAATACACCAGTTACTTCAGATTTAACTTGCTGACCATGAAGGTTACAAGTTTCTACATTCCTACATTAACCCTTTCGATACGAATGCATTTTTCGATGCACTGCTCCCACTGAACGAGTCATCGTTCAACGCTAGAAGTGTCGTCTCTCTCAAGTCATTTCGTCAGTCTGAAATCTCATAGCGTAAAACAAGTGCAAAACGCTTGCGATGGGTACCCATGAAGATAACAAAAATACTCTGCTCGCGAAAGTTCTCAGGTAACTTAAGTCACCGTTCATACACACCGTCAGGCGTTGGGTAGGACTATAGTCACCGGCTCGTATCGAACGGATTAAAAGCAAAGATTCGTTTCTGACCTTCGTACGTCCCTCGGAAAATTTCGAATTCCTCAAACGACGCGTGCTTTTACACCTGGCCGAAGATCGTACACGCGCGAAGCGCTTGCGAAAATTTTATTCCAACGCGCACACGACTACTGTGACGTTACAGGGTGCTTCCTCGGAAGCTGCGAGCTGCAACGATATTCGGAAATTTCATAGAAAAGCGAGAGGAACGCGAAGCGGAGGAAAAAACGGGAAGGAAAAGCGCGCGATGCGTTTGACGCGAACGTTGAATTCCGAAAACGTTATCCTGCGCGAAAAATTCAATTTGCCGCGGCGCATTGTGCCCCGTAACTCTTTTGTCGGGACACGGTGGACGAGAGCCGCGGGTTAATCCGAAAATTCTATGGTCCGCCGATTAAAGGCTAATCGTTTAATCCCGCGTGCCTCGGACTCGTCGCGCGCTTTTGCGTCGCCTGCAGCGACGTCGTCGAAGCTGCACGCCCCTTCTCGATCGGCTGTGATCGTTAAAAACCGCTGTTCCCCGATCCTCCTAGTCGTTATCGTGGACGCCTTGTCGCGTCGTCGCTTTCCGCTCGGAAAATACAAACAGATGGGTCGACTTCTGCTCGCGAGTGGCGCGCGTGTGCTCGCAGATGCGGCGTATCCGGAAGCTGGCGACCGCGAGAGAGGGTGGAAATGGACGGGGGAGCTGATCCGTGGGACGGAGACGCGTGGCGAAGACGTCGGGACAGACGTGGGCGCTTAGGCGACGCTGAAAGCGAGAAAGGGGGTGGTCCCGTGTCGGGGTGGTAGAGGCGCGCGCGTGTACCGAGTGCAGCTCGCGGAAGTAACTCGGATGCAGATGGCGTACGACCAGAAAAGGCAAAGCGACCGGGGGAAAAAGCTAGCGCGAGGGGTTGTAGCCGAAACGCGAGACACCGAGAACCGGAGGAACCGCGCGGCTGCGAGGACGAGGGGGGTCGCGCGGGGGTGCGTGGCCGGAAGTCGAAGGAAGAGAGACAGGCGACCGGCGGCGAGGCAAGGGGAAGTATTAAGGGGTTAAAAGAGGACCGTTCGAGGGCGAGACGCGAGGGGGGTGGTCGCGGTGACGGAGACGAAGCGCGTGTATATCCGCGGGAGGCAGTAGAAGCGCGTACCAGGGGGTTAAAAGGGAACGGAGAGGGACGACTGCGATGTCGGAGGGTTGGAAGGGAGAGAGAGAGAGAGAGAGACGGCGGAAAACGCCGTGACGAGAACGGGGGAGGAAACGAGAGGGGGGAAAGAGGGCGAGAGAGAAACACGTTGGTATACACGCTGGAACTTCCGAAGTTATTCGCAACAGGCAGCTTGCTAGTCTGCCTGGTGGAATTCTACGTTCCACTACCACCACCGACTTTATTCCTTCTCTTTCTCCGTTCCTCCTCTGTCCTCTCTGGTCTACCCTGTGCTTCATCGCCACCTACAACGATCCACCGTGTACACACCCTCCGTCCTCCATCGGCCTTCTGCATCACCGACAGCCTCCTTCCATACTTCCTGCGCCTCGTCGTCCCTGTTTCAATAGCCAGCACGAACTTAGCGTCGCAGTCGGCGACCGCCATCGTCTATAAATGCTCGTGGAGCGAGGAATGCGATGCCCGTTTCGCGAAACACTCTCTTCGGCTTTAATTATTATGCAACTCGCACGGTCATCGCGCGGTTCGACCTATCCTCTCGATGGTCTCGGAATACTCGATCCCTAGAGAAGAACCCTAGATCCGCGAAATCACCGGTTTCCTTAGACACCACGGGTGCTTCTCGACTGGTTCTCCAGCCGTTCCCGACCGTTCGGATTCGGTAATTAGGTAAACTGCGCTCTAAGCGGTTCGTTTGCTTACGTGCTCCTTTGCGTTTACCCGGCTTAATTAATTCTCGCATTGGTGGCACTCTTTGCGGCCGAGATTCATCGAGCGTGTTCGAGGCGAGCGCGAGCACGTGCCGCTGCCGGAGCGGACAGATAGAGACTGGCAGATGAGCTAATGGATAATAGGCGAACACCGATTGTTCGCTGGAGCGATCCGAATAGCACAGCCTCGTGCTGCTGCCCCTCTCGACCAGTGCTCGCGAGTATACACGCTCGGCTCGCGTTCTACCTCTTTTTAGAATCCACTCGCCTCGTACCCGGAAAACGTCTACCGACGCTTCAATTATCGAGACAATGGACACGCGTGACTCTCTCTGTCTCTCTCCGTCTCTCCACCTATCGCCGGGGCGTCGTCCTGCGAACAATGTCACGTGTCCATTCCGCGTGAATTCCGAGAGAGAATTCACCCAGTGAGAGAATGAGAGAGAGAGAGAGAGAGCTTGAGACGACGAGGACGAGGACGAGGATGAGGACGAGGGTCAAACGTCCCTGATAGAAAATAGATCGTACGACGGGGCCACCGAGCGTTTAAATCCGAGCGAAACCGGATAACCGGATTTCCCGTTGGAATAAAATATTCCATTGAACGGGAGCTCGCGGAGAGGATTCGCGGGAAATTCCGGTCCCCCTTTTTCGTTGCCAATTACACGCGGTCGTCGTCAAAGCGTTTAATTCGATGAAAGGGCAGCCGTAATAACGTCGCGGCCCTTTCTTTTTTCCACGGAAACCATTCACACCGGTTCCCAGCGGAGCCGGATGCTCGCTCTTGTCCGCTCGACACCGCTGCATCCACCGCCTCCGCCGTTACCGCTCGTTTACTCTTCTCGCGCGTACGCGCACGCCGCACACTCGCCGCGGATCACGCGAGGTTAAAGAAGAGCTGCCTCCCAGGGTTCAGGCAAACAGGTTCTGCTCCTTTTCCGCGATCACGGGGCCGCGTTAACGCGCTGACAGATGGAAATGGATTCCAGCCGCGAGTACCGTTTTCCTTCTCGCCTCGCCGCTGGCTTCCGACGTTCTGGGCCCGACCGTTTCGTCTCCCGTTTCGATCATTACCGAACCGACCGCCATCTCCACCAATTTTCCTCCTCCTCCTCCTCCTCCTTCTCCATTCGTATCCGTATTCCGCGCGCGCTTAGACCATCGCGCGCGTACCGTTTCGAGCCGAGAAACCGTGCCAAGAAGAAGCGCAAAGGAGACGAAGACGTAGGAGAGGGAGGAGGAAAGAAATCTGCCGAGAATAAGATCGTTGAACTTTGCTAAACGCCACTTTGTACCTTGCCGTTCTTTCGCGCTCCGATAGCGGATAAAGCGGCTGCCTTCACCCGCGGAGGAGGGGCCCGGGAATCCGTCGAAGGGAACCAACGGCACGGCGTCGAAATTGAAAGGGTTCCCACGAGGTCGCCATCCGCCTTTCTCCCAAACCGCGTATTCGTCCGACCATTTTGCCAGTTTATTCTCCCCCCGGTTCCCCGACAATTCGATCCAGCTTCCGAGCCGCGGTTCCAAAGTCCACCCGGAACTTCTAACTGGAGGAATCGATAAAATAGCGTTGGCGGAGGTTCCATTTCCGGGTTTGAGAAAAGCGAAGAATTGGAGGAGAAATGGCTGAAAGAGAACGGAGAGGAGAGGAGTGGACTAAGCAGATCTTGGGCGCACGGCTAGTCAGCCATGTCGACGAGCATCGACGAGGACGCAGGACAGCGTGTTTAGGGTCGATGACCCTCCGCACATCCGTGTTCGGTGCTTCGCGTGTACTTTCCCTCTTTATCTCCCGGCTCGTCTCTCTTTCCTCGTTGCCTCCCCATAGCCACTTCTCGCTGCTTTCCATTTCCCCCCTGTTCGCTGCACTTTACTCGTTCTCAGAGTGGCGTCTCCGCCTCGCGCGTGCCTCGCCGATCGAGGGTGAAAGGACCCTCTTTCTTCTTTATTTCTCTCCTTCCTTATACTCGCTGACGCGCGTTACGATGCTCGTCCACGCACGCCCGTGTCGTTTACCGATTTCCTCCGACTAAACGGAACCTCCGCTATCTTTACCCGGCAGCTCGCCCCCTTCTCTCCTCCTCGATCCTCTCCGTTCCTCTTCGCTCCGCTGCACTCCGCCTTCGTCTTCGTCTTCGGGTGCGGATCTTCCCGTGGAATCCACGACTCGCGGAAAAATCGCGCGACGAAGCGGCGGTGCGCGGCGTGGATAGAGGGTTAGCGCAAGAGTGGAGAGCGAAAGGGAAAGCGAGGAAGGCGCGCGAGCGACAAAGAAGCGCGGCGGAGGAGAGGCGTGCGTGAAACAGCAGTTCCAGAGATCAATGAACGATTGTTTCCTACCTAAGCCTCTCGCGTCGTTCGTGTTCTACAGGTTGCTCCGCGCGTCGGCGGATCCGGCACGCGTTCCGACGCCCCACCCCCGCCATGCGTTCTTCTTCTTCTTCTTCTTCTTCTTCTTCTTCTTCTCGATTCCGATCGAAAGTGCCTCGTTCGAGAACCGGCTCCATCCTTTTTCCTCCCTTTTCACCGCTTCCATTTCGTAATTCCTCCAGTTTCCGCGTTTAACGAGTTTTCTTCGTTTCGCTTCTCGCGCCTCCACCTTGCCGACGAGGTCGCCGGTTTTTAACACAGGATCTTGCGTGAACCTCGCTTCGCTTGTGTTACAGAGACTTGGAGCGGGACTTGAGCCTATCCGAGGACAGCGAGGATGAGACTAGCAAGGTAAAGACATTGAATCGACGAATTTCTTCGTGCGCCATTTTGTCGCGCGCTTTTTTCTTTTTTTTAACCACTTGCGGTGGCAGGAAATTCACAGACGCGTGTGTCAAAACGGTGCAGTGTTTCTGTAACGATTGCCTAACGACGTGTGTACCACGTCGTTGGCGATTCTGTGACAAAAGCGTTACGACGTGCGTCACGCGTGTTTCCAACGCAAGTGGTTAAATCTTCGGTATTCTTGGAAAGATACTTCGTCCACTGGGGAAGGGATTACGCGAGATTTCTGGGAATCTATGCGAACTCTTGGGAACGCAACCGGTGCCCAAATCTGCACCCTCGATTGTCCAGGTTAACGTTTTTATTCGCCAAGTGTCGCGTGTTCGGGGCACAGAGGGGTGAGACCGCGATCGTATTGTCGTATAAAATTAATTGGTAATCGTTTCGCTTTTCTTCCGCAGGAAACGTCATCGCGGACGGCGAGGGGAAACAGAAGCCCCGACCTCACGGTCGAGTAAGTATCCGTTTGTCGATACGCTGGCCAATTAATACTCCTGTTATACAGTTCGATTATCTCGTTCCAAAATTAATGCGGCCGGCTATTTGTAGCTAATTACCGACTTATTTTCTCGTTCCCCTGAAACGAGACTGTATTTCTGGCTCGCCTTAATCCGTTATTTTTCAACGGCCTCCGTTATCTCGACAGAGATTGAGAACGATTGCGATGTAGCAACGATTCGATTTGCAGTCTGTCGACACCCTTGATACCAGCGATGACGCCTGCCCCGCCGCCATTGGCGCCCATGTCACCCATGGGTCTGTCACCGGTGGGTCCGATGTCGCCCACGAGGCCACTCAGCCCCAGCAGACCGTCGTCACCGCCGAAGCAATTGACACCTGAGCAAGTACTTTCCCCTCCGCCGGTTAGTCCTTTAGAATCCAAAGGTTCTCCGAGCCCAACGTTGCACCAAAGGCCACCCAGTCCCTCGGGCCAGGCGCCCCAGAGTTCCGGAAGTGCCAGCTCTAGCGCTAGCTCCGACTCCTGCTCCGACTCCGGCTCCGACAGCAGCGACGATTCCGAGGACGAATCCGGCACCCAGCCCACCAAGGGCCCCTCTACCCCTCCCTCCGTGTCACCAAAGAACGAAAATTTGATCGAGGAACCGCCGCCCGCGGTCGAGGAATCGAAACCGAGGTGGAACCTTAGATCGTTCTTCACCAAAACCACAACGCCGCACGAGGAGCCGAATTCGGAGAACAAGCAGGCACAGGTACTAGTTTTCTTCCTCTTCTTTCGCTCTCTTCTCTACTTTTTTCTCTTTTATTCTTTTATCCTTTTATTCTTTTATTCTTCGTTTTCTCGTCTTCTTCGACGCGCATCGTCTCGATAACGTCCGACCGTTTCCGCTGTTTCATCTCGAATTCCCGATGGCGCGAGGGGACTGGTTTTAATTGGTAACGTTCCGCAACTCGGTAGCCGGGATTGGTTAAGATGTAATCGTAAACCTTTATGACTACCGGGGACTCGTAGTACTCGGTGATACGGAGTACAATCAAAGTTTGGAAACTTTAACCGACTTCGGTGTGCTACGCTCAACTCCGAGTCTAACTTTCGGCCCTATTGTGGACTCGAACAGACTTCCTAACAGCCTGACTCGCTTACCGAGTCTAAGCCACGCGTCTAAATATAATCTTGTCCACTCGGATCGGAACGGTTTCATTGGAAGGTGAAATATTCGCAGGACTGCAACAGGCGAGAGGGTTCTCCGGTGGCTACGGCGGATGCCAGAACGCACAGAGACAAGGCAGCACACGACTGGCAGCTCGACGAGGCCCTCAAGAGGACCCACAACGCGACGATAATCAGTCTGCTCGACAGCGACAGCGATCGTCCCTCGGACCAGGAGAAAGCGCAGCCGGTAGAGGAAAACCGTGCACAGCCGGAGAAACCAAAGGTGGCAGACGCCAGGAAACGAGGTCGACCCAGGAAGCCTACCAAGAGTCCGAAGGATGGTCACCGGACGTCGGACGAAGGTTTGAAGAACGGCAAGCCTCGCAGCAAGCCGAGAGGTGTGGGTAGTCCTATGAAGAAGAAGGCACCCCTCTCGAAGCCCACTATAACCACCAGCGACGATGGAAGCGACGACAGATCGCAGGGTGCGTCCAGCGACTCTGACAGCGATCGACCGACCAGGGTGTCACCGGTAATCCCGCCCGTGAACGAGAAGAGGACCACGTCTAGATTGAGCGGCTCTTCCAGCGAAGACGAAAGTCCGCCGAATGGGAAGAACAACAGTGCCTCCGAGGACGATACCACGCGTTGGAGAAGGATGCCGATCAAGAGAAGCAAACTGGCCGACTCGCCGAAGAAGCAGGACAAGAAGAAGAGTCCCGCGAAAGCGAAACCCAGGAGATCTACCTCGCGGGTGACCAACGTGGTCGGCGGGGGGTCCGATTCCGACAGCGAGTCCGAGTTGTCGGTGAGGAATCGTATCCAGGTCGCCAGGTGAGTATTTCCTATTATTAGAAAATGGTTATTTAGCCGTGTACGATTGTTATTAACGTTTGATTCGTCGCACGCACAGAGTACCCCCTAGGCCAAGGGCTCCGCCGACCCGCGCCACTTCTCCGGAGAATTCGGACAGCGACAACAGTCCAGGTTCGAAGCTGCAGGAGGAGGACGCGGGCAACGTGCAGGACAAGAAGAAGAGCGACACGCTTCGAAAGGTGTTCTCGTCCTCGATGGGCGGAGGGAAGGGTGGTGGTAAAGGAGGAAAAGGTGGGAAAGGTGGAGGAAAGTGTGGCATCTACGTGGAAGAGTACACGACCTCTGCCAATACACCTACCGGAGGGGAGAGTCCGTACAAAAGACCGTCGTCACAGACGTCCAGCGTTATTCAGTCTTTCCCGCCGCTCACGTACGTGAACGGTGTGCCGAGTTTGTTCTGTAGGATCGAGGTGAGCAAACTTCCGCATATATCGCAGCTATCGAGGGGGCAAGAGTTGAGACAGCGCACGGAACTTCCGGACACCAGGCCGTCGTCGAGACAAGCCTCGACGCTGGTAACGCAACCCCCTCGACCGCCTACACCGGAGGAAGGGGAAATCGTGGACACGCCACCGCCTCAACAGCTAGCCTCGGACACGAGGATTCACGGCGAGGCAGCGTTGCTGGTCGACGGTGACCTTAAGAATCGCGCTGTGATCAAGGGCGAGCCTATATCGGACACGAAGAACACTTGCGGCATCGGTGTTGGCGCTGTTGTCGTCGTCGGTGCAGGTGCTAGTGGAGGTGGTAGTGGTGCTAGTGGTGCGGGTAGCGCGCCCAAGAGGAAACGTAATCCGAGTTGTAGTTCTGTGTCCAGTTTGAGTACTGTGTGTTCCGCGGAGACGAAGACGAAAGGGTCGGGCGAGCACAAAGAGAGGAAGAAGAGAAAGAGAAAACATGCCGATGTCGAAGCTGTTACATCCAGGCCATCTTCCAGTCAGGTATGATCGGCTTTTAAATAAATTTCAAACGAGGTGTTGCCGTGCGAGTTTGTTAAAATGGTGATATCCTTATCGAGTAGCAAAGTGATATACAACCAACGAACCACGAACGGGAAGAAAAGCCTGACACCAGTTTGTTGCCGCCACCACCCCCGCCTCAGCGCGTCTATTATTCCTACTTCAATCCTCAGAATGAAGTTTTGGAGGATCAGGATAGGTGGTGAGTAAACGTTCCGCCGGTGAAAACCACGTCCGCCAACTTCCGTTCACGGGGATGGACGCCTTAATTCACTTTGCGTGTTCGCGTGTACCAGGGACCAGAATCAGTACCTGATGGAAGCGAAACGGCTGAAGCACAGCGCCGACAAGGAGTGCGAGCTCACGGCGCAGGGTATGCTTTACCTAGAAGCCGTTCTGTGTTTCCTGCTCACTGGCAATGCCATGGAGTCGGATCCTCTCACGGAGAGGGCGTCGTTCACCATGTACAAGGATACTCTCAGTCTCATCAAGTGAGTACATCTCTAATTAAGCGCGAACCACCACGACCAAGAGTATTTCCTAATTAAAGCGATCTCCGATTTCCCCTTGCCCCGACTTAGATACATCTCTTCGAAGTTCAAGAGCCAGCAGAACAACTCGCCGGAGAGCAGTATACATAACAAGCTGGCCATTCTAAGGTGAGTGCGCACTTTGAGCCTTTCTTGTCTATCGTGATTGTGCCCAGCTAGCGCAAGCGCGTGTGTTTTAAAAACGCCCGTTGTGTCTCGTTCGTTTCAGTCTCTTTTGCCAGTCCCTCATATACTTGAAGCTGTTCAAGATGCGCAAACACGAAGTCAAAGAGAACCAAAAAATCGTTACCGACTACCATCAAAAGGTAAGCGTGCCGTGCACGTTTCCGATCCTTTGTCGTAAACTTGCCGAATGTTCATCGAGTGTTTAATAAATCTTCTTATTTCTCCGCTGCCCACAGCCTGCTCAGGCAACACCGGTACAACCAGAGGGACAAGGTACGCCATCTTTGTCACCGACACCATCACCAGCCGGTTCCGTGGGTTCCGTTGGCAGCCAGAGTTCTGGATACAGCAGCGGCGAACTGGCGAATCGAGGAGCTGCTTCGGGTCAACCGCAGGCAGCTCCGTACGTTAGCGTTCCACTTAGTGTTCACAACGCTATGGCGAAGCAAAATTATCAGTTCAGCTTGCTGCTCAGCTGCCACGATCTCTGGGACCAGGCAAACGCTCTGGTGACGGATAAGCACAGAGGTGAGTCTCGATTTTTCCAAACACGCTAAGCTAACTAGGTATGTATACGTTTCGATTCTTTCGTGTTGGCAGATTTCTTCATCGAGCTGGATGAAAAATTGGGACCTCTCACGTTGAAAAGCTCTTTGCGCGATCTGGTGCGCTACGTTCAAGCTGGGATAAAAAAGCTTCGAGACCTCTGACCACAGTGGCATAGCCCCAGACCGCCCACCCCTAATTATATTACTTCTCTCCCGCAAAACATGGCCACGTATCCAACGATGTACACGTAAAGATATCAAACTATCTTTGTGAATTTGCAAAACGTACGATCGGCAATCGTGTGGTTTATAGTAACGTAACGCGCGTTGAGAAAAAACGTCGAAGAACAAAATGCAAAACAGGGGGAGAAGCCGAGGTATATATTCTCAGCGAATAAGGACTGTTTCGGTGGGGTGCAAGAATTCAAGGTGGTCTGGGGAGCAACGAAGAGAGCGTTCTATTCGATACGACGTTGTATCCGAAGGCTCTGATTATTACGTTTCTTCGTTCGGGGGTTCATGAAAATACGCCCTGGCATTTTTTACAACTCCTAGCACCAACTTTATAGTCAATTCAGAGTTACTCGTCTAACGGTGGAGACAACTATAGAAAGAGGATCGTTATGGATCCGTGATCGGTGCGTAGAGCGAACCTCTTGAACTCTGTGCATAGCACGCGTTACTTATTTTCGAAACGAGAATGAAATGGCAATGTGAAATTCCGGGAACAGGAAAATGGAAATACAAAGAGAGAGAGAGAGAGAGAGAGAGAGAGAGAGAGAGAGAGAGAGAAAGGAATATTGCACGTTCGGAAAGCAAAAAGAAGCGAGGGAAAAATACTTGGTCCCTATTTTTTCGGAGTAATCATTTTTATAAATTAATAAATGGAATCGAAGGAAGATGTAGATGAAGAAGGAGAAGAAGAAGAAGAAGAAGAAGAAGGAGAGGATGAAATGGACCGTAAGGGGAGAAAACGACGAAGGAATAAGAAGTGCCACAGAAGCGCCCGTGTGTTCTCGCTTTACGGTGCGCCGCAGCCGACGTTACCTGAAGCATGAGTTTCGTCTTGGCGATTCGAGTGCGACGAATACACAAGGATATACATATATGCATATAGTTTATTACCTATATAAATATATAAATAATTATAAATATATAGATATGAATATATTTAATGAAAAGAGAACCAACGCGTCAAGCACGCCGACGTTTCGTTTTTAGCAGAAAAGAAACAAACAAATATGGCGGTCGCGCGATTCGTGGGGTTTAGGTGAAATAGACGGGGAGGAAAGAGGAGGAGAGACAGGGACGGGAGAATTTAGTGTGATGTTGCATTTCTCTTCGGTGGAGATGCGCTGCGAGCAACAAGATCAACAGTTGATCCAAACCGATACAACACTACTACTATAATGTCTAACGTCTGTGAACGAAAGACACGACTCTTTTTTGTAGATAGGTTACGAAGGAAAAAGTAACTTAGATTAGATAATTAATACGCAACAAAGAAAACAAAGTTAAACGGTAACAGAAAAAAAAAAAACAAAACAACCAATACATATTATTTACATTACTTAGAATTAAACGGGGAATAAGTAGAGGTTCTAGTGATGAGAAATAAAAAAAAAAAAAAGAATATTCAGATAATTATACATAGTGCATACACCACATTATAAATAGTGCGATTATAAAGGAAGAAAAAATGAGAAGAAAGAAAGAAAGAAAGCGAGAACAAACACCAAACGAAAAATAAAATAGCGTGTAACTGACCTTACACGGGACGTAAGAAGAAAACAGAAAAAGAAAAAAAGAAAAAAAAAAAAACAAAAACAAAAAACCAAGCGTAACGGATAAGTAAGTTGCTCATGTGTATATTTTTGTAAATAGGTATTTGCGAGTGCCGCCGCCTTGAGGGTGACCTGTCGACGTTGAAAACGACGCGACAGGCCGGCCCGCCCCAATTTTTGCTACCACAAATCTTATCGAGAATCAGGAAATTTCTGGTAAAAAAGAAAAAATATTAAAATACACGTACACAAAATATTACATGTCCGCCGAATTTGTCCCGAAAGTTCTTTCCGAGTCCAGTTCTTTATGAAGCTTGCGTTACGTTCGAATTCTTTTCTTGTGTATGTATATACATATACACGTACACACACACACATATATATTTCTTTTATCGTTGTTTTTTACGTTTTTCGATTAACCACCTTTCATCCGTCTCTCTCGAATCGTTTATAGCATCCGTTCGATACGCTTCCTTTTCTTTTTGTTGTTTCTTCACCGACAAAATGGAAAAAAGGGGGAAAAATTAAAAAGGAAGAAAGAAAACGTACTTTTGCCTTTCTCGATAAAACGGCGAATTCGATTTGATGCGGCCATTGTAACGAGATGAAAACGGGAAGGAAACAGGAAGGGGAAGTGTTAGCGGCAAGTTTACTGGCGCGCGAGCATCCGAGGGGTGGGAATCATTCATTGGACCAGAATCGTAACGAACAATTTATCACGACAATTAGTCAAACATATCGAAAATTGAATTGAATTAAATCACGGAATAACCGGAGACTTTTCGTTAGAATTTATCAACAATAGCGAGGAACGAAAGTGAAGTTGGACCAATCTGTAAATTTGTAAGGGTGCTTAATTAAATGCGTCGCGTCGGCCAGTTCGTTGCTAACGCTTTTCCACGCGGAGAAAGCAATTTAAAAAGGAAATAAGTAAAAAAAGAAAAAAAAAAAAAATGGTAGGAAGGAAGGAAGGAAGGAAGGAGGAACAAAAGAAGCAGGCATGGCGGAAAAAACACTGGAACCGTGACAAAGGGATCGAACACGAGTTGACGAGACTCAGGGGGGCCCATATAGAGTTACTAAGCGCGGTCCAATGGTTCACGGGATACAATTTTATACCTCGTGTGCGCGTGCACACGGACTGAAGGATAAAAGAGACTAAAAAAAGAGGTCTATAAAAATAAAAAAGAAGTTTTGATATTTTCGAGACACATATTTATAGCGGATACGTATAATATCAGGCCCTTCGCTCTCGTCAGCCCATGCAGAGAAACGCAGAGGCGAATATACCAGAGGGACACACACGACACACGCGATATATGTACATACACGCGAAATTTAGATCTTTTGCGACTCGTGCAATTCGGCTGTTTGCAATGAAATCGAACGTGTCCGCGCTTTTATCGAGAAAATATAGTAGTTGCGTGCAAGGGTGGTGTTTTGCGTGGTGCAACGTTCGTCGATTGGGGCAAACTGCCCGCCATTAGTCCAACATTATTTCATTTACCAATCTCGTTTATTTCTTAATCCCAACGACATCGTTTTTCGTTCGCTACGCGAGTTTTCATAGTTTTATTTCTTCTTTATTTATTTTCCTTTCCGTACTCGCGCCCCGATTCGCCGCCTTTTATATACATTTTTCTTTGCCCCTTTTATTTTCCAATCATTCTTCTGGATCCTCGCGCCGAGAGGCATTCGTTTTTTGGACAAGTTCTACGTTCCTACCAATCTCCAAAGAGACAAACGAGCGAATGGTGCTGCCGTTCTGATATCGCCAAGATTAGGGGTTCCTTTGGTGGGGAGGCAGACATATAGTATATACTCGAACGTTACGCGCGTTTTTCATCCATGGTTCCGTTTTTTCTTCTTCCTTTCTCTCGATTCGTTTCTTTTTTTCTTCTTCTTCATTTTCTTTTTTCTTTTCCTTTTTTTCTACCGATCTGCAACGATCGATTCGCATCGGGTCACGTGAGCCTTTCGCTACGGTTTAAAGAAAGTTTATCGTCACCTATATATTATATTATATAATTATTATTGATTTATTGGTACTACGATCGTTAATAATTTTCGAGGTATTTATAGGAATGAATGTGGGGGGTGAGAGAGCGAGGCAGGGAGCGAGAGAGAGCGGGTGAGAAAGGAATGCGTGTTCTGTGTGTGCGAGCGTGCGCGTACGAGAGACGTGGAGCTTGAGAGGAGAGGGAAAGAATAGAAAGAAACGGTTAAACAATGCATGTCGCAATGACAATTGTATATTGTACCTAACACAGCAGCAGAAACGATTTTCGATAACTGAAAGAAGATACATACGCCGAGCGTGTATATATACATATGTATGATATATACATATAATAATCTCGAGATGTTCGGTTCATTAACGTTTGATTTTTGTCTTCTTTACCCGCTACGCCGTAAACTGTAATATATTTATATACACGTATACATACAACTCCCACGGAACACGAACACGTACACACACAGGAGGACATCCACTTACCAGCATATATATGTAAACATAGAGACATGCAATCATAATTATATTATTATATTAATAGTATTATACGATCATTATTTTACTATACTCTCGTATACGGTCGTATCGCGTGTAGTACCTAATTCCGAATCGTAAACGCGTTGCTCCAACTCCACGGAGAACTCTCTGGTCCTCGCCAACGTCCATCATCGATCCACCGTTGCGAAAATTCGCCCCCTCGAAACACCGTGTGAAGCACGAGAAGAGAAAAGAACTCGTGGCTGAGCAAGAGAAGCCAGAGAACCGCGTTCGATTCCTCGTTCCACGATAAGGGAGCCGTATTTCTACCTATATTTCTACCACACCACACACACGGGGAAAGATGGGGGACGAAGAGGACGGGAGAGTTCGCGTTCACGGTGACGAGCAGCCGTACACTACTAAGTAGCAACGAGCAATGCACAAGCAATTTATTAATTAGTTACATACCGCGCGACGCGATCGACGCGCGACGAGGACTGTGGACTCTGTGCACGATTCGAAGGGTAGTTTCTCGTTCAAGCCCGAAACGTCGCGATAGTCCCGAAGTGGAAGAGAAAGCGGAAGGAAGACGATGAGGAAGAATAGGAAGGGAGAATAAAAGGACAAGCAATGTCGGCGTCTACTTTCGAACGACGCTAGACACTTGGTGACTCTAGTCTGTCTCGTTCCCGAAGTAGACTCTCTACCCTTCACTCGTGAGAGTCCCGCACACGGCTGGCAGGGAAATTGAAATCGCGCGGCGATCGGTCACGCTTGACAGAGATCATCTCAAAGAGACGGCCAGACAGACGAGCAAACGAAACGAGCAAACAAGCAAGCAAGCAAGCAAGCAAGCAAGCAGATCGCAGGATCGAAAGGGAGTAGTGGCGAATGCGCGCGTGAATGCACGGAAGAGAGAGGCAGAGAGACGGAGAGAGAGTGTGTGTCTATGAGTGTGTGCTTTGCGTGGGTGTGAGAAAGGGACACAAATAAGTGGAGAACGAAGCAATAAAGAGAGATACATAGAATGGCAACCGCACCAAGGAGAGACCAAACTCGCTTAACGAAAGATAATTACTTACTTACTTGCTTTTTATTTATTTTAATTATTAATATCGATTGATTCGTTGATGGATTGATTAATTAATTATTGTATTTATTGGCGCGGAAGGCTGAGACGTTGGGGTTCGCGTTGCACGCGGAAAGAGAGAGAGACGTCGATCGATCTAGCACAAGTACTCGATCCAACAACCACCCCCGAGCAACAGAGAAAGCGAACGAACAAGATTGCACGAGCAAACATACACACCGTTCGACACGTATCCTTTTTTAGTTCTTACTTAAGCTTAACCACTCGCTCCGCTTTCATAGCAGACATACTCGATTTTCCATTCGACAAAACGGGATCGAGTTTCGGGGGAATCGATCGTGATCGATCTTTCGTCGCGCAACCACCGTTTTCCGGGTCTCGAGACCCGGTCAGTAGACAGCTGCCACGCACAATTCCGTGGTCGGCCATTTTGGATCGGCACCCCGCGTCCTTCGATCGAACGAACACTCCGTTTCGCCGAATGTTTCCTCCGGATCCGCGAAATCTCTTCGGGGAGGCGATCAGTCGCGATCAGTCGCGCATGTTGGGGTACACGGGGGGTAAAGCGGAGTGGCGGGGGGTCGCGTTCGCAGAGTTCGGTCGAATCGCATGAATCGCGGGGGTGCGAGATCCGGTCGGTCGCGACTCGAGGGCAGGGTTCTTCTCTTTCTTTCCGCCATGTTGGATCCTCTTCGATCGGGAACGCGGAGATCTTGGACGGGTGGACACGAGGTGTATCGCGTCACCTCGGTGAGATTTGCCTGGAGAACCGACCTGAAACGCGCTGACAAGGTACAGGGGTGTGAGAGTTAAAGGGGTTAAAGGGGGGTTAGGGGAGAAAGGAGAGAAACGAGACGAGACAGTGAACGGGGAAGAAGAAAGACCGTGACAATATATACATATATACATATATATATACATATATATATCTATATATTTGCAAGATATTTTGCGAGCAGGGCTTTTTTATCTATTTTATAGTAATCTCAGCTTAAGCGGATTGAGAGAGAGGGAGAGAGTGAGATATTGTTTTGCTAAAGACGAAAAATAAAATACACAAACACGGTGAATAAAAGGGGAGAACAAAGGGAGAGTGGGAGGGACAGAGGAGGGGGAAGAATATAATTGGGACAAAATGGTTGGAGGAGGAGCGGGGTAGAGGGACAGAGAGGGAGAGTGAGAGAGAGCGAGAGAACGGGAGGGAGAGAGAGAGAGAGAGAGAGTGAGCGAGCGAGCGAGAGAAAGAGAAAAAGAGAGTTTTAATGCGCAGCTGACAAACGGTTTGTAAATTGCGTACATAAAAGATAGGTAAATAACCGTCGGCTGATAAATGAAGACGGTTTCACTATGTCGTATACTCTACGTTTTGTTTGTTTTGCGCCTTAGGCTTGCATTATGATTAATCTGATTATTATAATAATAATGATGATAATTATTATTATTATCATTATTGATTATTGATTATTATTATTATTATTATTATTATTAGTTATTATTATTATCACCGTCATTATCATTATATTCTTATTATCATTATTATTAATTTTATATCCTTCGAATGAACAAATTGTTTAAAATAAAGTGAAGGAATAAATACAATATTGACCAATCAACATCCATTCTTTCGCACCAGTTCCGGATTCAACGATACCGAAACTTCTCCTCGTCGCGCGTCGATCAGCGTCGTTTTGAATTTTGCTGAAATTACCGCGATCGATGATTCGAATTCGAAATTTCGGTGTTCCTTTCGACCTGATTAGACTTTCGTTATCTAATTACCGGCTGTACCGTCAAACCGTCTTCGTCGTGCAAATATCGCTTATAGGAGCCATGAAAAGTCAAACGACAAATTCGGCAAAAAATTTCGCCAAACAACTTTGCTCGAAATTTTCGATTCTTTCCGTCGCGATTGGATCATTCCCGCCATCTAGAGATTATCCACATCTGCCTTTCTTTGGCGAAACGCTTGTCAGCTCCTCGAGTCCTGGAGAAAAGGCTTTCCAGCATCATCGAAAGCACCAAGGACAGCGAATCGAAACACCCTTTCGCTTACGGTATCGTGCTGGACACGTGACGCGAAACACCCGTGATTAACACGTTCCGTGCCAAGCCATTTTCGACATGATCTCCAGGCCATTTGCCGTTTCGGCTAAAAATTGATATTTCGATTTTGCAGGATTAAATTTTTAATTTTTAATTTGTCATGAAATATATTTTCAGGGTATTAAATAAATATGTCTGCGTGTTCCATTTATGATACACACGCGACCTGCAGATCGAATTTAACGTGTACGTGGCACGGAGCGTGTTAACCTCTTTGTATACGATATTATACGAGGTTCGTGGTAAGGAAATCGAGCAAACGCGAGCGTACGGTTAGCCTCGTGGTCAAATTCCGTCCGTGTCCTTCCGGCTCAGTTGCGTGTTATTCTTCGACGCGATAGCACGACATGGCTCGGCGCGCGACCGATTTTCCTGTTGGTGGTGCCACACCCATCGGGACTTCGAGAATCTTCGAACGAGAGCTTGGTTAGTAATATTTATTTTACGTCTATTTACTTATATCTTTGTCACTGTTCCGATGCTGTATGTACTTACAATTTTGTCACTGTTCTGAATTTGGGATGGGTGATGGAGTGACACGTGACGTCGATAGTAGAGGATAGGAAAGACACCTGCGCATTTATTTTGTCGAGGAAACTAGTAATTTACGCGTAGCTAGGGAGATAGTAATTTAGACGTGCTTCTCTAAGGTTTAATGATTATTTACATTAGTTAGGCTCGTGGTTAATCCTTTCGCTACTATGGGTGACTGTAGTCCACGAGACGCCATTTGCACACGACAGGTTGGCCGCAAAAATTGAGTAAAAATTAAGACAAGTGCTATCGTTTCTCTTCGCAAAGAATTGCAAGCGCTATTGCGATGGTCGGTCTTTCCTCCATTTTCTTTTTCCTTCAAAAGACTTAGCCTCGAATGCTAAAGACTTTACGATCGTAATATTTCCATCATTGGCACGACGCTTTCGCGGCGATACCCGCCATATTGAAAGGATTAACCTTTTGCACTCGAGAGGTTAGGTTCAGTCACCATTTCATAAGATTTGGAAGATCGATATTAATTAATATATCAAATTTATTGTAATGTAACAGTGTGTGAGATATCGAAATCAAATAATTCTACAATTCTTCATTTACTGCTCACAAAAGTATCGTCAGTTTTTTTTAGTAGAGAATCTTTAAATTTCTACTCTTCTCTAGCCAAAATATCGTCGAGTGCAAAGGATTAATTTTCTCCGATGTCTTTCTATTATATTCTTCTTACGTGTTATTCTTTGCTACGTTCGTGTGACAGATTCTGATCTTGATTATGGCAAACGCCGTCTCTGTATCCCTAAAGTTAACCTCTTGTACTCGTCGATTTTTTCGTCACAGAAAAATAGTAATTCGAAGACTTCAGAAGTCGAGGATATTTTTGAAACGGTGAATAAGAAATCGTATGCAAATTAGGGCGTGGAATTACTTTACCTCGACATTCCACGCATCGTTGAGTAATTTTAGATTTGCTATATTAATTAACACCGATCTTTGGAATGTGATTAAATGGCGACTGAGAGGCGCCTATCGAGTGCGAAGGGTTAAATCGTAGGGCAAGAGGTTAACTCGAAGGTACCTTAGAATGATACCATTCTGATTTCCTTCTATCCTCGTTCCCACGTGTCGAGGTCAGATGCAGGGAATTGAAAAGTCAAAACTCGAAACGCAAACGCGACGCCCAGAGTCGTTTCACATCTCTCATCCTCTGTCCTCTTCTTCGGCCACTCGCGTACGTAGTCATCGCGAACATGGTCATCACCTTGTCCCACCAATGGTCCATTAACCCAGTCTGCGACAAGTGCATCGGTTAAACGCATCTCTAACCGGCCAATTAGAGCGCACCGCGAAAGCCGAGTACAGAGTATTTATTCTATTACATATTCCGCTTCGAAACACGAGATTCCTCCTTGTCAGCGATCCTCGCGGACGTAGACTCATCTGCGACTCTAGCCACGTTCCCTCGTTTCTCCGCGTACTCGCTAATCCGCATGCTTCCGTGTGATCCACCATGTTGGAGAGAACTCGTCGAAGACAGAGTTGTCGCACTGATCGTAACTACGTTCGTGGATCTCAGGTCTCAATTTTGATAGCCTTCGGCGTGCCTAGGATCTATGTAGGATCTATGAATAGCGTGGAAGTCGGTTTAAGAGACAGGTTGCGACATCGATGAAGTCATAAGGAAGAAGAGACATTCTGATTAGGTAGATGCTCGGTAGACCTGCTTCGGAATGGGACAAACGAGACATAGAATCGTCTAATATTTTTCTAGGAACTTCTAACCTCACGGAGCTTATTCCTCAGCTTGCAAAAGCTCCAGGAACAGGCGCGATAAACGCCCACGCGACGGTTGTAGATATGAACACGGGATTCATAAACTCGAAGATCTTCGCGTAGGCTGCCTCGTTATCCGGATACCTGGTCGGAATACTGATTCCCGAGTTCGCATGGTGGTCATGTCGGGCCTGTCGAAGACGTGCTGAATATTCAGCGACACGTAGTACTCTCTGCTCGCTGGTCACCAGCAGCAGGAGCTCGTGGTAGCCGCGTAGCTTCACGCCGGTGTGTTCAGTTTGGACAGGAGTAATTCGGCTACCGTGCCACCTTAACTCGATGAAGTCTTCCCCCTTCGGAGAGATCGATTGTCAGGCTGCGTATAGGTCTGCACCCTGTGGCCCCGTTTCGAGTCTAAGTTGCCGCAGGTTGTTCGACCTAGAAACGCGACGTGCTAGTTTCTGCTGGGTGTTTGACTTTGTATACCGTGGAGCGTGAAGCGCGTTGGCTTGTTCTTTTGCGAGGCAGGATGAAAGGTCTGTTTGTTGCGCGAGTTTGGGGATCATCTCGGATATTTGTCTCGGCTGTTCCTATTTTTCCTGCTTTGGCTTTCGCGTCTCCGAGGCGAATGGGTTTCAAGGTGTGCATTTGTCCGTTTGTCTTTGTGGTCGAGGCAGAAAGGCCTTTTTCTAGGCGCTTTTCCAGAAAGGAGAGCTAAGCTTTTGCCTTTTTAGTTATATTCCTGTAGATACATCTTGTTTAGATAGAATGGTGCTGGGTTCTATAAGCGTGTCGTAATTAGTATTGTTGTAATTTCGTTGTAGTATTTTTTAAACGATTGACACACAGGTGGTTTTTGATTTTGTTTGGTCTCATTGCGAGAGTGATAAGTAAAGGTGGTAGTGGTGTCCATGTTGTTGATATTTTACCAAGAGGGACACGACAAACCCTGGTTTTTTTGAGATTTCTTTTCGCAAACAGTCAGAGGGATATATATAATTCTCTGAAGCCCCCTCTCTCTTTTTCTCCATCCCACGTTGTTGATGGTTGTTGATGAAAGGATGGGATATGCAGATCATTTTCATCCTGGGCCTGCTAGTGTGGGACTTATCGGTAAGGCTACGTAGCAGGTGCTGCCTTAAACGGAGGATATTTATAAGAGTTTAGAAATTGTATATATAGGAAGCGGAGGGTCTTTACCGAGGACTTGCGAGAAAGTCCTCGACGCTCGTTTAAGTAGGAATCCATCTAGCGGCGAGAGTGAGAACGACACCGCTACAACTCTATGCAAACCAACGCGTCGCTGTAACATTGCTATCGAGTAAGAAATTAAATAAAAATTTGCCAACTCTATCCAAAGTTCGACAAGTATAATCGATATTATCGTTGTATTGTCAAGATTCGGAGCATATATTTCGCGAAATTCATAGTCTCAGTTTCGATCCCGCTGCAGTAAAAATTCCTCGCGTCGAGCTACTTTAATAACACCGATATTTCCATTCGCGAGTTGCCAAGGACTCATCTCGAGACCTAAGTTAACCGCTTCGAAGAATCAATCGACGCACTCGTAAAACCGCAACAAATCGCCACGAAATTATCCAAGATCACTGTTACTATAGTCGAGTGAGAGGGATCTATCTCCTCGATCTGCGAGCACGATATCTTCCAACGATGACCTCCGCAACGAAAGTCACAATGGCGCAAACCTGGCCAATCACGAGAATGTAGAAGCTGAACGTGATCTGTTTGATGGTCAATATCCTGAAGCTCTTCTTCCGATTCATTCGTCTCTTCTTCCATGCCTCGTAGATCCTTCTCGTGTTCAGACTCCTCCACATGGTTATTAATCCAGACTCCATCGCGTGACGAATTATTTTCGTCACTGGTCTCAGTAGCGGCCAGTCCTTCCTGGTCACGTAGACCTGCTGGGTCCGCTGTATCCTGCGAGATCGATACAGAGGCTCGTTCTCGATCCTCACGTACTGGTGGAGACAATCGTCTATACACGCGGCTCTTCGCGATCTTAGCACTTGCTGCCTGCAGCTGTGGTAGGTGGTCTCGTGGAAACGCGACCGTAACTCGGCATCCCGAAGCATCTGCTCGTGGAACATCGAGCCGTAGATCTGGTAGCCAGATTTCTGTGAAAGTTTGTAAGCTTTATCGGATTGGCAGTCTATCTATCCGGAAGTTCGAAATCACTTTTAACGATTTATCCATCCGTCATTATCGACGACGAATCACTCGCGATTCCCATGCAGGATCGATTGCATTTTCATTGCTCTCAGTGAATAGGAAGAGAAGGAAAGGGTTGGCATAATTTACTGCTGCTATCGTGCCTAGGTCTGAGGAGAATGGAAGCTACTCTAACAGAGAGTGTATACTATTGTTCCGATTATTTTAATTAAAAGATTCAAGGTTCTTCCTCATACGAGCAAGTGATTCCAAACTTTCGAACATCGTGAACGTATATTTAGATATATAGAAAAGATTAGGAATGGCGTACCCTCAGATCCTCCGCGGTCCTGATATTCGGCAGGGAAACAGGAATGCTGAGTATCGAGGCCCAGTGGCTGAGGACCAGGGCGTTTACTACGAAGTACAATATGAACACAGAAGTGAAGAAAATTCTGCAGGAACTGGCTTTGGGTAGTTTATACATGGACACCGAGGTAACGAAACGCGTCATGTTCAAGCACGCTGGGAAAAATCCCTGGTATTTCGCGAGGATGCAGAGGCTGATCACGAACACGATGGCGCACCCCAGGCTCACGAAGGGCGAGTGGAAGGTCAAGAACTTGATGAACTCTGACTTTTCTCCTGCCCTCTGTGTTATCACGCAGAAACCCTCTTCCCCGTGAGGATACGTGTGTCTGTAATCAAAACACCGTGATGAACTAATCCTGTTCATAAATGTCGCGAGGACTCCTCGAGTCTAGCTGTCCGTCCAGCGTTTTACTCGGCTATTTCGTTCGATCTAGCGTCTATCTAGGGTCTAATCTAGCGTTTAATCCTGAAGGAACACGTACTCGATCTTCCACAAGCTGTACAGGCCTCTCGCGTTCATTCCCATGTCCACCTCGCCACTAGCCACGTCGGCCAGCATTCCCACCATGATGCCGTGTTTGTCGATGCCCCCGAGACGGTACACCGTGCCTCTATACACCAGTACGTTCATGCTAGCGTTCAACTTCTTGAACACCATCTTCAGGATTTCGCTGTTGTCGCCGGTGAACTTCTCCAAGCCGGACTTACTTTCGTCTATGTGGAGATGGGGCTCGAAGGATATGGCGTTCAGTCGGATTTCATAACCGTTCAGGTCCCTCGTCTTATCGAACATCAAGTCCTTGCACATCCTCGAACCTTCAGAAAACGATTAAGATATTGTCCATCGCCATGGATTCGATAAATCTGATCGAAACTGTCAAATCTAACTTTAACAGTAGTTTGGCCTCGGTCTTCACGGAAGTGGGATTAAACGAGTTGTTTCGTAGCTGACGTCTCTGAATAAGGAATGAAATTGCGCAGGCTGCAGGAATGTCAATAACACTGTCAAGTACGAAACAACTCGTCTAGGGACTGTCAATTAGAGACCGATTAATTCGAGGTGTCTTCAAACATGTGTTAAAAATTTGTTGGACTTGCCATTTCTGTATTTCCTTCTCAATAATAGCCAGGGATGCCCACTGCGTCCTTCATAGTACCCAGCTTGCTTCCAAGCTCTCGGCGCCATGCTCGAATAGGGATTATAGGTATAGAGGACGAGTCCGTGAATGGGATCGATGCACAGGAATATCGTGGAAAGTCTGTCGTATTCCCAGGCTGTCCACAGGAACGTATGAGCGTTCGCACAGCCGCGTTCCTCGGTCCTCCTGTCTATCAGGATATGGAACCCATTGAAGTTGCCCCAGCTAGAATCCTTTATCCTCTGCAGCAGCAATCTGAGCATCGGCTGCGAAGACGCGATCACCACGAAATGATCCAACTTGCGGAGCAGATGCAAGGAGGTGTACCGATTGTACTCCGTGAACGAGTATCTGCTCAGGGCGAACAGTTCTGACGTGGACGTCTGCGTCTCGGAGACCAGAGCGATCTGTAGACCATCGAGCAACGATCGCTGAAGGAAGTCTTCGTACTCCCCGGCTAACAGGAGGGCGTTGTGACGGTTGAAAATCGTGCAGCATTGGAGGATCCTTATCTGAAAGCACGACTTTCCACTTTGAGCGCTTCTATTGGTAGTTAGTTCTCGGGACCAGTCTTTCTGACCTATTTAGTAATTTCGAAACATCCTTTTTCTTTTACAATAAATATTTAAAGGTAGCATTTGTACATAGAGAGGTAGAATCATAGAATCGCGATGTCATTGCTTTTGGTTCTTACCGAATTATCAATTTTGACAAAAAACTAGGTCCTTCGAATTGACACCGGATTGGCAATTGACACTGGAACTGTCAAATCGAATTTACCCGCTCTAATCTCTTTGTTCCTACGAAAATTAACGGTGACCACGAGGTAGAAACGTAACTGCTTAAATTCGTTATCTATTTTGATATAAGATAAATAGTTTCAGTGTCAATCGCTTTCGCAACCAGGGGTGAAATATAAGTACCGTTTCGCCGATCAACTTGTCGTACGTGACGTTACCCACGGTCGCGTTTGCGACCAGCATAGACACGGGCAAAACAAAATTCCAACCGATCTGGGTCATAGTTCGCGACAGGCAATTAACACGCACAACCGGTAGCGACTGAGTGGTCGTTATACTTTCCCCGCAAAATCATCGTAAAGTCTCGAGGAAGTAAACGATATCGTCGTTGCCCTAGCAGCGTAGGTCAAGTGACGGTAATCAGACTCAATTTTAGCCGACCGAGAATGAAACTCCACTTCCAAGTTCATTCAATGACTTTGTTTCACTTCCTCCAGACGATCCTTGCTTAACCGGTTCACCGAAATCCGTGCTCACGGAGCAACGTTAGACGAGCTACTGGCCGATGACACCCCATAGCGTGATCCGTAGCGTCCCTCTTGCGTTAGGTACCATTTTCGTGGTAATCGTTCCACGTAGATAACCATCTAAATCGACCGTGTCCATTTTCACAGTTAGATAACGGTCACCCACGATTTTTGACCGTGTTTTCATCCGTTCGAAAAGTGGTCACCATCGCGACTAATAACTGCGCGAATCCACGTTAAAAATCGAGGAAAATCAGAGAAAATCTAGGAAAATCTAAGAAAATCGAGGGGAAACTAGGAAAATTTAGGAAAATCTAGAAAAATCCAGCAAAAATATAAGTAAATCTAGGAAAATCTAAGAAAATCAAGGGAAACCTAGGAAAATCTAGAAAAATCTAGGGACATTTAAGAAAATCTAAGAAAATCGAGAGAAATCTAGGAAAAACTAGAAAAATCCAGAAAAATGTAGCAATATCTTGGAAAATCTAAGAAAATTTATGAAATTCTAGGAAAATCTAGAAAAATCCAGGAAAATTATAAGTAAATCTAGGAAAATCTAAGAAAATCGAGGGAAACCTAAGGAAATCGAGAGAAATCTAGGAAAATCTAGAAAAATCTAGGGACATTTAAGAAAATCGAGAGAAATCTATGAAAAACTAGAAAAATATAGAAAAATGTTGGAAAATGTTGGAAAATCCAGGAAAATCTAAGAAAATTTATGAAATTTTAGGAAAATCTAGAAAAATCCAGGAAAATTATAAGTAAATCTAGGAAAATCTAGGAAAATCTAGGAAAATCTAGGAAAATCTAAGAAAATCGTGGGAAACTTAGGGAAATCGAGAGAAATCTAGGAAAATCTAGAAAAATCTAGGGACATTTAAGAAAATCTAAGAAAATCGGGAGAAATCTAGATAGAACTAGAAAAATCTTGGAAAATCTAGGAAAATCAAAGAAAATCGAAAAAATCGAGGAAAATGGAGGTGTCCTCTAATCAGAGAACCTTAGATAGGTACGAGGGAAACGCGCAAACGACCGAATCCAAGAAATCCTCGTCCAACCGGCGACGTTGAAGAAGACGATTCTTGCAAGTGGGAGTGCTGCCCCACCATACTCGCGTGGAAGAGGACGAGCCGAGGACAGTTTCGCACCGGTCGTCGGCCCGTGAGCTCGCTCTTGCTAGCAGGTTCCATGAACAGGGTGTCGTGTCGTCTTGCACTCGCACGTGTCGACCCGCTGTATCGTTATCTCGACCTCGCTCTAATCCACCGTTCGTTGACACAGCGACTCCTGCTCGCAGCGGTTGCAGGACGACGTCGCAGACCTTGGCGCACCTCGCGCTAGACGCGTTTGCGTACACAGTTGTCGGGACCAGGATTAAACTCGCGGGCCAATTGCGCGCAGATTGATCAATTGATCGCGAGGAAGCTGCTTAGCGAGTTGGATCGCGCTGCACGGAAATAGTACCGCTCTAAGGGAACCGGTTTACAGTTCCACGAAAGACGAGCCTCGTCCCGTGGGTGGGCGTCCGACAAGATGATAGGGGCTCGAGGAGTAGCGGCGTGCTTTTACGCGACAGTCTTTGTCGTTTGTCACGCGGCTGCAGCCGTGCAGCCGCATATCGTGTTCATTTTGGCTGACGACTTGGTGAGGTGTCAACTTTTTCGTAATACTCCTCCGCAAATGACGGAGTCTTTCGTTCGTCGATATCTCGGTATCGACGATGAATATCGGGGATCTACAGCGTGGCTAATAGGCGTCGGTTAATAGGGATGGAACGACGTCGGATTCCACGGGTCAGGCCAGATCCCGACGCCGAACATCGACGCCCTGGCGTTCTCCGGGCTGCTGTTGGACCGGTATTATGTCACGCCGATTTGCACACCGTCCAGAAGCGCTCTGATGACCGGCAAGCATCCCATTCACACCGGAATGCAGCACGGGGTACGCGGCTCCCTCGTTAACCGTTTAATCGCGCAATCGGCTTGTAAATAAGGCGACGTGGTCCTGTCGGTCGCTTACGGTCATTCGGCTGTGGTTCGTTGCGCTCGAACGACGTTATTTCACCGCGAGATTAAAATAGGTAGATTGAAATATCGCGTCGCGGTATTCGCGGGAATTCTTGGACCGGAACATTTTCCTGTCGAGGGATTCGCAATCGCGTCGATTAGAATCTGCGGTCGGCTCTCGCGGTTCCAGTGAATTCGACGCTCATCCAGTGATCGCGTTTTCGATCGTGTATCTCTCGTCCGTTCGATCTATTTCCACTTTTGCATCTGCGATATATTTCCATCGGCTACTCGGTGTGACCTTTTTCTAATTTCATTTCCACTGCTACCGCGTTTACGTCTAAATGACAGCTGACCTCCAACAGTCGGTGTCGCGAAATGTTACTAGATCGAACGTCCAAATTTTCCTGAATTTTCTAAATAAATTGTTAGCAATGTAGAACGCTGCGAAACGAAATGACGTCGCTGTCTATGACACACGGGCTGTTGCTAAAATTTAAATCGTCTCGAGAACACGAAGGGTTGGGCTGTTAGGAGGGTGAAAAGGGTTAAAGGGATATTTTGCTGTAGCTTCTAAGAGGCTCGACAGAGAGATCGCTAGACAATTAACGCTGCACGCGTGGAATTAGGTCCTCAAGTGCGCAGAGCCGAGGGGACTTCCCCTTCAAGAGAAACTCTTACCGGAATATCTACGAGAACTCGGGTACAACACCCACATCGTGGGTAAATGGCACTTGGGATTCTACATGAAGGAGTACACGCCTCTGTATAGGGGATTCGAGTCGCACACAGGCTTCTGGAGCGGCCACCAAGATTATTTTGACCACAGTGCCGTGGAAAGCGTGAGTAGTTTAATTTTAACGCTTTTACTGCCAGCCACGAGTATGCGAAAATTCCGCGGTCGCTTTGATACGCATCCGCGATTTCCACGAATCGTATCCACACAGACAAACAAGTTTCGTGTTCCTAAATATCGCACCATTCGCGCTCTTCAATCCCAAAGGACACGAAATATTTCGCAAACATTTAATAAATCCGAAATATATTTATTCTCTTTAGTTCCAGGGGGTACAAAGTATAATATAATCGCGTTCTTTCATTTCGCGACGATAGATCGAACCTAAACTATGAACGTCCTTCTATCTTCTAAAATTACTTTCATTTGCACGCAGCCATATTTTGGATTGGACATGAGAAGGGGACTGGGATCAGCCTGGGACCTTCACGGCCAATATTCCACGGACATCTTCACGAAGGAAGCAGTGACTCTAATCGAGAAACACAACACCAGTCGCCCCATGTTCCTCTACTTGGCTCACGCGGCTGTGCACTCCGGAAACCCCTACAACCCTCTGCCAGCACCCGACCAGGAGGTCGCCAAGTTCACCAACATCGCCGACTACGAGCGTAGACGTTTTGCTGGTAACTGGAGTACGCTTGGTTACCGATTTACCGATCTCCATGATCAGAGGAATCACCGTGATCTCGTTACAGGCATGCTGAGCAAGCTAGACGAATCGGTTGGTCGCGTGGTGGAGGCGCTTCGTAAAAGGGACATGCTGAAGAACAGCGTGATCGTGTTCTCCACGGATAATGGCGGGCCACCGGCCGGCTTCAACCTAAACGCCGCGTCGAATTGGCCCCTGAGGGGCACAAAAAACACTCTGTGGGAAGGCAGGGCTAAAATATCGCAGATTGAAAATAATTCGTTAAAGCAAAGAGGGCAGGAAAAAAGGGAATGACCAATTTGTCTCGATCAGGTGGCGTCAGAGGAGCCGGTTTGCTGTGGTCACCGAGACTGCTGCGTCCTGGCAGGCTGAGCAGGCAGCTGTTCCACATTAGCGACTGGCTACCGACCCTCGTGAGCGTTGCCGGAGGAGACCCGTCCAATTTGACGATCGACGGCGTGGATATGTGGCAAGCTTTGCGCGAGGACGTCGAATCTCCTCGGAATTCCGTCCTTCACAACATAGACGACATCTTTGGCGTGGCAGCCATCACTGTTGGCCACTGGAAATACGTTCAGGGTAAAAAGTAATCGCGTCTTGGCGATCAGGGATGTTGGGGGGTCTGCGTGGTCCATTCGGTGATTTTCTTGCTGTCGGTTCTGTTCGATCGTCGCGTTTCCGTGATTTTCAAGGGTCTACCTACAACGGCCAATGGGACGGTTGGTACGGACCGTCTGGTAGGAAGCTGGTCTACGACGTGGGAGGCGTGGTCGGTAGCATGGCTGGTCGAGCAGTGGCTAGCGTAGGCTTCAACTTGTCCGCAGAAGCTATCCGGTCTCTTCGTGATAAAGCCAAGGTGAACTGCGCAGAGAAAAACGAGAGCTTGCCGGTGTGCAAGCCGCTGGAGGCACCTTGCCTGTTCAACGTGCTGACGGACCCTTGCGAGGATAACAACGTGATAGACGAGTGAGTGACGCGAATGAGGGTAAAGACGAGAAATGTTTCAGTGAGAAAAATATTATTTATTGGGTTCAAGGTACCCCTCCGTGCTGCCTGCCATACTGGAGGAGCTTCGCAGATTAAACGCCACTGCGGTACCGCCTGGGAACCTGCCGTGGGACAGCAGGGCAAATCCGATCTACTGGGACCACACGTGGACTAATTTCGGGGACTACTTGAACGTATTCGCGAATAATGTCAGTTGAGACACGCGCTCGGGGTGAAGGGGTCAAGGAATAATGTTCACCAAAGTACGTTGGTCGACACTCTCGCGTATCTTCGTACGTTCAAGGCTACGGGGTGAACCGATCTCGAAGGTAGTTTATTAAACGTGCGTTCATCTTTCCTCGTTCGCCTTCGTTCCTCTCGAAATGTCGTTGTGATCGTGCGACGCCATTACGCGTAGCGCCGTGATGTCTTCTTCCCGCCTTACTGTCCTCGGTCGCTCGTCAATTTCTTTCCTCTTTTCTTCGTTCTGTCCGTTACAACGATAATAAAGTAACTGGCGCGGGATTATAAATAGTATCTCGTTTATTTCTTAATCTATACACTTCGTTCTTGTTGGACCACAGTTCTATCCAAGTGCGTACAAAGTGGGGAACGTAATGGTAAAGGGGAACCCGTTTTAAATGAAAAAGAAACGTCCTCGTGTTGGCTAGAACGTCAGAATAGGTCCTTCTCGATGGTCAAGAATATCTGCGAACAAATGTAAACCTCGATGAATAATTTTAATGACTTCATTCCATTGTCAAACGCGTCTATAGTGTCTTTCGTCTCTGTTAACGTACAAGATTCGTGTCCAATGACGTACCTTTGGCAATGCTCCACCAGGGCAACGTAATGTACGTAAGAAACGCGTTCAGGGGCACGGATTGAGCCCGTCTGGTCTCCTTCCAGAAGTGGAAGGTTTGCGTGAATCCCCGCATCGTCCACAGGGGGTTGTAAGCGCCGTCGTCCAGCTCTGTCGACAGACAGATAACGATCCGGTTATTGCTAATGACTAGGTATCGACAGATCAGAGACTCGACCTACGATTAAGATCCTGGAATGATTCGTGTCGATCAATTAGACGGAGCAAATTACAGGGAACAGGTCTGGACGATGTAGAGAGGTTGAGCTACGATCACGGGATGGGATCGAGACGAGTTGCTGTTGGACTCGGTTGGTGAAGCCTGATGGGTGTAGCACGAAAATTTGTAGATATGTTGCAATGATGCACATCAGCTACAGGTGCGCAGAAAAGACAAACACGAACAGGGATGCATTAGCTTTTTCCTCTCCCCTCGATTCTTTTATCTCTGTTTCTTTTCCCAGGTGGATCTTTGATATCTAGTTTGCTAATGCATTTTCTGAGGCGATTGAACACAGCGAAGCAGGAAGATAGGGCGAGTCGTTGTAGCTACTAACACGAACAGTTTGCGCTCTACGATTCTATCGGTGTCAGTGATCACTTGTCCCTCATCGTGGATGACTATGTTTATACCGGTGGTGAAACAAGCACGATCGCTATTCTTTCTCCGACCACGTCAACGAGACGTTTCGAGATCTCTAGTCATCGATTACCGCCAGAAACCACCACCAGCACTCCGGCGACACCGCCACGACGACCTCGACGCGGTACTCGTCGTTCGCGTCGTCTCAGAACGCACCCCCGTTGCCATTGCAATTTCACCATCTTCATAAACACAGTCATTGGCTGAGCATGGTTGTACAAGTTTAGCTTCGCAAGGACAAATGAACGTAGTACAAGAACTGCACGGATCGAATACGATGGACAGCGTGGCAGCTTTTCGATGTTGCGCGAGCTGCTCGATGAACGACCGTTACACCCCGAGCGTGTGAAATTTCGATCTGATCGTTCGCGAGTACACGGCTGTCTAAACAAGGAGGAAAATTAACGAGAACGTTTGCTTCTCGCAACGCTCGGACAGCCTGGACTCGCAGACTTGGCAGAGATAAACGGTCGTTCATCGGAGAAAGCCGACAGCTGTTCGCGTGGGCGCGTGATCGGTTGGCTATATGTGGGGTGGTGTAGAGGTGTGTCGGGCAGGGGAAGAAGAATTTACCCTGTGAGCCGGGGCGGCGCGGGAGCTCGCACCAATAGTAGATAGCTGTGCCGTCTGGTGTGACTCGGTGCGGAGGAAGTGGGTTGCCCGCGAAGCTGCCGGACAACGCTCGTCTTCGCCTCCTTCTCGGCAGGGTGGCGCTCTGCCTGTGCGTGGTCAGGTTGCCGCGGGTAATACGCGCGTTCGCGTTTTTATCTTTCAACTGCTCCTCGTTTTTGTTCTTGTTCCGACCGGTGTAGTACTCCTCGTGGTCGGAGCCTGCCGAGCGCAGACGCCGGCGTCCTTCTGTCCGACGCACCCTGACCACTTCGTCGTCGCTCAGCCGTCGTTGCTCCTCGTCGTTCTCCAGGTTGTTCAGTCGCTCCTGATTGATCTGTCCGGTGCTGTACGGCCTTCGTTTCCTGTTATCGTCCGCCTCCTCGTATCCCAACGGCAGTTCCTCCTTGCCGTGCACCAGTATCGCACCCGCGTCCAATTTCTGTCTCACGTTGTCGTCCGTCAAGCACGCAGCGGCCGGCACGAGAATCTCGCTGCCGACCTCGATATGGTTGTGCTGGTGGTTCTGGAGGCCTGCCACCAGATAATTCGTTTCACCGTGCGCGCGCTCGTGTCGCGTTTTCGCCATCCCACCGTCCCTTCGTCTCTGTCGCGTTTTCATTTCGCACGTAATCGTGTACCGGACGTCGGAAGATCGATCCTAGATCCGTTGGAGCCCGGGTTCTGCCAAGTGTCTCGAAGCTGACTTTTCGAAGGCGCAAGAGACGAGGAACGGTCGTTTGCAACGCGCATGAGCACGCTCACCGTGTGTCTCGTGATAGGCCTCCTTGTGATTCGGCGAGTTCTCATTTTCGCTACATTCCCACGAGTTACGTTGCTTTTGCTTCGGTCGTTGTTGCCTATTGGGAAGAGGGGATCTTCGTCGCCTAACGTGCGGACTCCTGTGATTTCCTGGTGAGCCCCGGCCGCCCCAGCTGCTATCCTGTAGGTCGGCTACAAAGGAAAGAGCCGGAATGGCACGTGACACAGATTAGAGACAAGGTATTTCTGTTGTATTTTTTTAAATTTCGCTTTCTTTTTCCGTTCGTTTTATATTATATCGTATTCTATTTAGTCTTATTTTCGAACTGGTTTTGTCCATTTCGTGACAAGCGTAAGAGATTCGCGTGTGGTGGTGTTGGTGGTGGTGCTCTACAGCCGTTCCTTCTCGACGTGTTTTATCTCTGTTTGTCAGCGGTTTTCGTACGACTATCTGCAAACTTATCGAAAAACTGCGTCTCGTGGCATTGCACGGTCCGAGGTAATACAAAAGCACGGATCGACTTGGTTCTCTGCGAACCGATCTCGAGCTTCGCGTTTCCACGAAACTTCGCGACCACGCGAACGATCACGAACGAGGGCGTTCGTGTCGGTAAGATAAGCGAAAAACTCGAACCGATGAGACGCAGTAAAAATAACGAAAAAACATGGTTCGGTGCATGCAACTGTCCCGTTTCTCGGTCGCAATGGCCGGAACTGAATGGAACGCGACGCAGAGAAACGCAACGAAAATCCGACCGGCTAGAACGATGAATAAATCAAACGTCGAGACCGACTCCTAAGAGGATCAGCTAACTATCGAGAGTAAGAAATGTGCAGAATACACAGATACGTAACACAATGGCATGCACAGTCGATTCTGAAGGTCACAGGCATAAGAAAGAACAGGGAGAGCGGGTAAGTGAGAGAGTGTCGTCGTTCGTTCGCGACTTGCGTCCCATTCTCGTCGAACTTGGACGAATTAACACGCAAGGATAAGAGCAAGGTAGTTACCGTCACGAACGTCTCCGGCTTCGATCTCGCTCAGTCCGTTGGCCATCGAGTCCAGGCCCTCGTTCTCTGACCTAGCCTTGGTCGCAGCCGTGTCCGGCTTCGTTCGCCAGCCACCGCGGACGAAATTATTCAAATTAGCGCTTGGATCGGATAACCTTCGTTGATGTCGATACATGAACAATTCCTCGGCGTCGTCCCAGTCGGCGTCCCACAGGGAATCCGTGGCGCAGTAGCCGGGCTCCGAGGTCGGCGTCTCGGCCCCCGATCCCTTTGGCTTCGTCACAGCCATCTCCGCGTGACCCTTACCTGCGAAAACACGGTCAGTGAAGGTTCTCGGGTTTCTCTGAGAGGGTAGACGCGGTATAGTAACGGTGTAATCGATCGGCACGTCGAGGCAGGGTTTCCTATCGACGATCGTACCACGAGGTCCCTTCATTCGAACGAATTCGATTCGCTGAGAGGCCGCGCCGGAGAACAGGCCAAAGGTCATGCGCTGCGCCATCTTGGTGCTCAGGCTGGACTGAAAATCGAAAGGATAGAGGGAAATTTAACACGCGCGAATATTACCAGGATCGAGAGCGTGTGACATGGAAACATACTCTCGCGTCGTACACTTTCTTCAGCGCGTCGTATCTGATGGAACCGAGGAAAATGACACCCTGTATGGCGCCCTCTCTGTCGGACGCCACCAATTCCACGCATACCATCTCCCCGTCCCTGACTAGAATATCACAGAAAACTTCGTCGAAATTGTCCACCATGAAGCATATATGCGGGTACGTCATCTCCTCGAGATCTCCCTTCGCGTCCATTCGCCGTCGACTCGGACTCGCATATACCTTCTGCGAGTGCCTTCGTAATACCTGAAATGGAATTTTCGATGGAATTAATCGGGAAATAATCCACGAGTATATATTCATGGAATTTAAAGACAGGGAATAGGAGAACGAGGACCCACTTGCAATTCCTTGGGACTCGTTCTTGTGCAGATCGCTAACGTTAGCGTGTAGTCGAACTGATGTACGACCAGGTTCAGGTACACGGTTTCCTCCCAGTCTATATCTGGATCGCCGATCGGTAGTTTCTTGCTGTCTTTCCGGAACACGTCCACCTCTGTCTCGAACTTTGGCAAGTATCTCGACGACGTTTTCACGTGTTTCTTGCGCACGAAGAACAACAGATCGTCGCCGTCGATCGTGTGCTCTGCCTGGAAGAGGAAGTGCCTGACGAACAGGTCCGTCCAGTAGGTTGTACCCTGAAGTATCACGAAGCCGGAGTCTGTGGGAACACGGGCAGCTAGTGGTTAATGCGTAGGATCGAAATGTCGCGGAAGAAAAAAGAACGGAGGATGAAGGGCGCGAACAAAGGTCGTGTAAGGAAAAAAAAAAAAAAAAAATAGCAAGCTTAGGATTCTAGCGCAGGACGAGAGGGTCGGTATGCTCGATTATCAGAGGCAGTACGGTTGACTCGGCGTTATCCGCGAAGGAGAAGCAGAAGAAAATAATCCCCGAGCGAGAATAGGAACTGGTCGCGACCGAATCTCGGTGCTGGGAATCGATAATCGATAAGAATGTTCCGCGAAGACTTAATTGCAGCTTCCATAGCCAGCTAGGCATCTCGACGATTTCCCATCTCCTTTATTAAAGCCTCGCGCGCTTTTATTAAAAGCCGGGATGAAAGTTGACCTTTCACGAGCGTCGCCTATAGCGGAAATAGCACTTGATCCTATAGAAATACCCTCATTAACTGTACCCTCTCTGACATGGGACAACCGGTGATAGGCTATATACACACGGTACATTTACATCTTAATCGACGAATCCGTCCTCGTTCGAATGACTCCAGCGTAATCGCGTTTTCGTAACCGGAAGCGTTATTACTCGAATCGAGTGATACACGTAGCGTGCATTTAATTGCCCGTGGACGTCGCGTAACGTCATGTCGCATTTATAGACGGAACGAGTTCGCGACGATTACACACGGCCTCGGTTAACCTGCATATTTCGCACGGCCTACGCCTGATTCGAAATTGTCAACAGTCGATGAAGAGCCGTTGGCA